ATATCTGCCTAATTTTTCTATTTTTTGTAGAGAAGGGGTCTTGCTCTTGCTCAGGCTGGTCTGGAACTCGTGACCTCAAGCAATCCTCCCACCTTGGCCTCCAAAAGTGCTAGGATTACAGGCATGAGTCATCACGCCCAGCCTGGAAATTATAATTTTATACAGATGGATTTTATTATCTTTTACTATATCCCGCTCATGCTTTGTTTCTCATTCAGGGTCAATGCAAAATCCTTCAAAATACCCTGATTTCCATCTCTACTAAGATTATTGATTATTCCTAAAATTTCCCCAGAGTAAACTAAAGAAAATTTTGTGTATAAAATTCAACAAGGGGCACAAAGGGTGGTTTAACACTGTTATTAGATGAACTAGATGGCTGTTGCCTGCAAATGGGAAACTGAATTAACTACCAGATTGCCACTGATACCCATCTTCTATTTTGGAGCTAGATAATCTATAGCATTACTTTAAATGTATTTAGTCTATGTTCAAAAACTGGATGAAACTCTCTCCTCCAATCTTTTTAGATGGCATTTTAATTTTTAAATGTTATGAAAAATGAGTCCACATTTAAAAGGAAGCATCTATGGCATCCTCACATTTCAAAAACCACTTTACATTTAAAAGCTTAAAGATTAAATTGATAAAATTTGGAATTTCCCAAACATCCTTCACCTTCTGATCATTTACTAAATCTGAAGTACTCATTTCAACTTTTTTCTTGGTGTTTTATTTTCCAGTCTACTCCTTCAATTTGTTTAAAAATATCGACACACTACAGCCAAAAGTCACATCTCGGATTTCTAAGGTAAGCCAAGATAATGAGTAGTTGTTGTTACTGCAAAATAGTGGAAAGACAAACGTGAAAAATAGAATAATTGGTCCTTTGTAAGTCACCGTGATCTCTGTGTACTTCAAAAACTCCCGCATTTTTTAATCTTAGCAATCCTACTTAAAATGAGGGAATGGAAGCCCAGAGAAGTTAGTGTTCAAGACAGAAGCAGAACTATGAAATCACGGACGCCAGGCAGGATCTTAAGAAATGTTTTCCCATCCCCCAGCACCGACGTTTTACATTGTCTGCTTAACGTAAAAACTCATGGGAGATCTATTTTAAGGGGAGATATTTAAGACATTCCTTGTAAGAAAGATAACATATTAGCAAGAATCATTCACAAAAAAAAAAAGTCAAGGAAACCCACAAGCAAAAAAAAAAATCGGGGAGACGCCACGGCCTGCGAGAGACCTGGTTATGTCAAACGTATTTGTTTCCTATCCATGAATTATACCCCAGCGCTCTTAAGTGTTTCTTCATCAGTAAAAGCCTAAATCGGATCCTTTTCTTTAGGATGCTTCCAGCGCACTTCACTTTCCCAGCCACGCGCACGTCTTTCAAAGAAACGTCCACAAGGAACGCAGCGGGCCTCTCTGGCACGCAGGCACCGGCCTCCGCCCGGGAGAATTTACAGAGGACCCCAGCAGACGCTCCTGCCCTCTCCGTTCCGCCACCGACTCGTAGCCATTTCTTAACTGCCTGTTTATCTTCAGCCTTATCCCCGTCGCCATTTCCGCCCTTATCTCTAGAAGCGATCGACCAACGAGAATGAGACATCGCGAAACAGAGCACAGGCAAGTCAGGGACAATGAATGTCTGCGCGGCAAAGTTTCCTTAGGCAAGCTGTAAGGCACTGCTGGAGGCAGCTTCCAAGGGAGCCGGACCCTGATGCCGGTGGGAAAGGACCTTGGATCCGAAGCTCGACGAGCTGATTGGCTGGTTGGACTCGGCCGGGCAAGAACCCGGATGTACCTGGGTAGATGTGTTGGCAGTCGGGGCTCTGAGATTTGGGCGCTCTGGGGGTGCTGGCAGCTGGGGCACATGGCGCAGGGTTGGGCTGGCTTCTCTGAGGAGGAGCTGAGGCGACTTAAACAAACGAAAGGTAACGGGATGTGTGTGCAGAGGTTTAAGTCTTGATTCTGAAGCGGGAGAGGCGGGGCTGCAGCTTTTAAAGGGGAAGGGGGCGTGGAAGAGTGTGTTTGTGTTAAGGGAAGGAGCTGTAAGTGGGTGGACAGGATTGTGGGGGCTCTAGAGGTGGATGTACCTGGAGTCCCGGCGGGAGGGGGAAGCCAGAGGGCTGG